GGGCCGCGGGGCAACGGGCTGATCCCCAGCCCGGCGCACAGCGCCCACTGCAGCCTCTACCGGACCCGGACCCTGCAGGCGCTCAGCTCGGAGAAGAAAGCCCGGAAAGCCCGCTTCTACCGCAACGGGGACAGGTACTTCAAGGGCTTGGTGTATGCTATCTCCACCGACCGCTTCCGCTCCTTCGACGCCCTCCTCGTTGAGCTCACCCGGTCCCTGTCGGACAACGTGAACCTGCCCCAGGGTGTCCGCACCATCTACACCATCGATGGCAGCAAGAAGCTCACCAGCCTGGATGAGCTGGTGGAAGGTGAGGGGGCCGTAGTAGGCCAGGGGCATGCAGGGCACAGGCTGTGGGGTGGTTCTGCTCTGGCATGTCGAGGTCTGGCAAGAGGTGGTATGGGGCCTGCTGGTGGGCTGCAGGCTTTCCCTGGGGTGGGCTTTCTTCTTGCCACCCTGAGCAAAGCTGAGAGAGGTTGCCTTGCTGAAAATCAGCAGCCATGGAGCCCCTGTGGGCAAGCGGGCCGAGGTTGCCTGGTGCTGTGAGTTGCAGTAGGCCTCATTTTCCCAGTGCGGACCATCTGCTTCTCCCATCACCCAGAGTGCTGCCTCCATGTGTAGGGATTGACTCGAATGGTAGTTAAGCAGCAGGTTCTCTCTTCATCTACAAGAACCGTAGTAAAGTTCTTGGCTACCTTTCAGTCATCACCATTTGTAAGAAAGGGAAGTGCTGTAGTTTAGTTCTCTAACAGTTCTTACACTGTCATTGATGCCTCACAGTGGCTTAAGCTTTAGGAGACAAAACCCCTGTGCTGTGAAAAGGGATACTTAATGCCCTACCACTTATTAAAACAAATAGGTGTAAAGACCTATTTTCAAATGTGATCAGAGTCCATATTCACGGAGGGAATTACCTACCTTATCTGACTTCCAAAAGCATTTTATAGAATCAAATGCTTTTCAGAATTGTCCCTAAGTAGATTTTGATAATGGGACCTAGCTGCTAAGGTTATGTAGACCTTGCAAATCTAAGCAGAACAGCACTCAACTGCATCTCAAAATGCATACAGAAGTACTTTTTTTCTGAAACATATGCGTCTTGTTTGTAGGGAATGATAATTACCAGAACAAGGAGCAGAAATCCCCCATGTTCTCTCACGATGTCTTAATATACAGTTTAAACTCAGCATTACATGAATGACCCTTTCAAATATGTTGGTTATGTTGTGCACACTGTGAAGTTCTTAATCAGTTTGCACTTGACATTCCCAGGTATCCAATACATCAACCACTGCAGTATTTAAACCCAGTGATTCTATATGCCAGGTTTAGCTGATTTGCATTAATGAAGTATGATTTGTAGGTCTCCTATTAAGGCTTTCAGCTGTGTATCCTTTAAGCTTTGATTTGGAAACTTCCCTTTTGAAAGCAATGCTGAATGACACCTGGAGAACTTGATGAGAAAGGGAGCCTGAAGATCTTTATATAAGCCATAGTAAAGGTGCTGGGAGTTAGAAACCAGCCACTCCAGAAAAAGCAGGATGAAGGGAGAAGCTACAGTATTTGCTGCATCGGGGGGCTCTCACTCAAAAAAGATACACTTGAAAGTGCTTTTTATGATAGTAACATAGTGCCTGAGGACTTTCCCCATCAAGTGATCTAACATAAGGCTGTTCCGCAGTCAAGATAGAAGGAATGTGAAATGCCAACTCTGTGGTAATAAAATAAATGTGAAAGCAACAAAAAACTTTTCCGTGATACGATGATTAATTTAGAGATAGCTAAAAAAAATTTGAGATGCTGGAGTGGGGATGGTAGGGCAAGGAGATGAAGAAAAAATTTGATAGTGATAACTTGGAGTGACTTTTGAAAGAACTTTTGCAGAAGGAATAATCTGAAGCTTTTATGGCTTAAAACAGAGACAAAATTACTTGCTGCACAACAGTATAAATGCAGTGTATACTCACAACTCTATTTAAGTTAATAACTGAAACCAAAAACTTACTTCCTGTCTCTTCAGAACTCATTGAAAGAGTGACCTTTCTCATTGCTCTTCACAGGAAGAATAAAGCAAAACAAATGTCACAACTGAAATTCCACTTCCATGCTTTCTCAGTGAAATAAAAGGGGGAAAAAAGAGAGTCCAAATTACTTAGTCATCTATCCATGACCAGTACGAATCTTAGGAATCTTAAGAAAATCCCATTGCATCATAATTGGATTAGTATGTTCTCCAATTAGCATGCCAAAAACTTTTCCAGTGTAAGTCTAATCACCATACACAGAAAGGAAAGCATATACAGGGGGTGGTAAGAAAGCTAACAAGTAGTGAATCCATCGTTCCTTGAAATTATCTGAACTCTTTGCCAGCTGTTTTGTTTTTGAGATGTTGGAAGGGCCTGATTTGTTTTTATTTTCTTTATTTCTCGTTGGTCCAGCACAGCAAGCTTGAATTTCTGCTCTGGAATAAGTACTTGAACATTGGTGATATCCTAAAGCTTGAACTGTAGTAGTGCCAGAAGTAGTTTTGAAGGGTGTTTTGTTGTATTGCTTTTTAATCTTCAGAAAGGAAAGTAAAGTAAAATTAAAGTGCTGCTGTGCATGCCAGCTACAGGCTGAACACCAGAATGAACATGGCTACTTGATGCCGTACCTAGTTGAGCAGTCTGTTTGCGCATCATCGATGTTGTTGAACTGCTACATGGAATTGCAGCAGTGTGGGTTCAGTAGTGGCAGCTCTATGAAGTGAGCAGGAGGTGAGTGCTCAGCCACCCTTGCCAAGTCAGCAAGATCCGCATTAAACCCGCCTTAACTGAAGCCTGTGTGTGTAGCTCTTGGACACTGACGTGCCCCAGTGCAGGCAAGCTCTTTAAGGCCTGTTTGCTGTTTATCAGGTTAATATCTGTCTGGGGTATAGGAACTGGCAGTATCAAATTCTGTATTATAGGAGTCCAAATTAGTTGAATTGAGTCACTGATGATTGCTTTTGGGAGTTTAGCTGTATTTAGCGATCTCTTTTACCGTTTTCTAATATTAAGAGGAAGATAGCTAATGCAGAGCTGTACTGTAGATTTCAAATATGACTGTTACAGGTTGAGTCAGTTAAAAATTTTACCAGATTATGTTTATTAGTCAAAATTTGACAAGCTTCATTTTAAGCATATTGCTTTTCTTAACTGGATATGAAAGTCAAAAAAGCATGCTCTTCTGCACCAGCCTTAGGCCAATATTATTTATATTCCCAGCCCCTGTAGGTTAGGGAACATTATGGCTCATGAGTTTGACAGTTTGTATTGCTTTCTTAGAATGGGAGGAGTGAACAGTTGCATTGTCTGCTCTGTTTGAGCAGACAGATCCAGAGAGGGGATGGGGGTTGGGAATACTATGACTTTCTTACAGTTTTCTTTCTTTCAACTTTACTATCAGACATTACACTACTTTTTACTTTTGAATAGGAGATTCCATGTGTAATTTTATGTTTTCCCTTCAATAGCAATAATGGAATAATAGTTTCATTTTTATTCTCTACCAAAGTTAACTAATTAAGTGTTTGTCTAAATCCCTCAGTCTTCTTTAAAAATGTTAGCTTCCTAAAGCATGACACAATGGCAATAGGAAGAACTGTGAAGTTCTTTAGTGCTGAGGTTTGTGTTTTACATTGATGTCAGTCATGCTCTTTCTCGATACCCTGTGCTTTCATTGTCTTGGTAGTGAAAGACATGGAGAATTCTGATTGTTAAGGTCTGCTGCAAAGTTGGGAGATGCTGCTGAATTTTGGGAGAGGAAACCAAGTATATACTCTGTTCTTGGCAAGAAAAGTTATGTTGATTTGGCATGTGATAGGGAGTTTTACTAGTTCCTTAGGTAGGAAGCATTGCTAAGAGTCTTTTGTTCTTTTAACTACAATGCTTAATTAATACAGTCCTTTATAAAATGTCAGTAGTCTTGTCTGCACAGTTGTGCAATCAAAAGGCACTTGTAGAGAAGTCTTTGGGCAGCAGGTGGGAAGGTTTTGAGCAGGGCAGTCCTTGTACATGGCTAGGACTTGTAGCACAGGACGTCTGCTTTAAAGAAATAGGCTCTGCCACACTAATACAGAGTAAAAGAATGTTTTTGAAACAAGGTATGGAGCAATCCCAAGTGTTTTCTGCCTTAGATCATTGTTGTTACTGCATATTACATTTTAATCCTGCTTAAGTACCTGTGATTCTGGTTGATGTACACTTGTTGTAGTAGGTCAAGAATATCTTTTCTCTTGTCAGGGCAAGCAAATGGTAATACCAAGTCGTCAGTTTGTACTTTTACTTCTTCCAAAAGGTATGATTACTATCCGGTGCTAAAGCCAAAAGCTGTAATGCTTTAAAAAGAGGCAAATCTAGCAGATTTAAGAAAGAAGGGTAAAAAGGAAGACTAAAAGAAGGATTAAAAAACATTAAAAGGGTATGCTTCCAAATATATATTTAAATCACTGTAGTTACATGGTCCTGGAGCAATGGGGTGTGGATGTGAAATATGGATGTAATTATTAGTTAACTTCTCATCCAAGCAAAAAAAAATACTTCCACCACTCTGCATCTCCTGGTTTCAGGGATGGGAGAAATGTAATTTACCTGAAAAGAGTTGCTTACTGTGGAGGAGGTGTGTGGTATCAGGTCGGTTGATATCAGGTGGCTTTAACTGTCTTCTGAAAGCTTTTACCCTGCCTGAGCAGGGGGTTGGACCAGGTAACCTCCAGGGGTCCTTTCCAACCTCAGCTGTTCTGTGATTCTGTGAAAGCTTGTAGGAAGCTGTCATCTGAATCTCCTGAGTAAATAAAGTCAAAAGAGAACTAGGAGCAATTAGTCATCTGCTAAAATCCTGGTTGTCATCCCAGGTTTTAAGAAGTGCATGGGGAACTTAAATGCTATTGATAAGGAAAGATCGTGACTTATACAGGGTTATTGGAGGTGATGTGAAAGTGAAGGAATCTTAAGAAACTGTTGAGGAAGGAAGTATGTGAAAGAAAAGACGGAAAGAGAGATCTAAATAACCTAATCCTTCATAAAAGGCATTGTTTTATTTTTAGGTTAGTCCTTTTATACATGCCATAAATACACTGTTCTGGAAATCTGCATGGCTTTGTGGTATAGAACGCAAAAATGGTACTTCTGTGATTCCTAAAGTTAGAAGGTTAGTAGCCCTAATAACTACTGTGTTATACTGAATAAGCAGCCTTTGGCACCCTTGAAGCTGATGAGTTCCACTAGAAGAAGCTGAGGAACATGAGGTGGATAGATTAAATATACCTAGAAACCTGCCCTGTCCTACATG